GGCTTGTCATAGATGGCCTTTATGATATTGAGGTATGTTCCTTGTATCCCAAGAATTTCAAGGGCTTTTATCATGAATGGGTGTTGCACTTTGTCGAAAGCTTTCTCAGCATCTATTGATATTATCATATGGTTTTTATATTTCTTTTTGTTGATGTGTTGGATAACGTTGATTGATTTTCGGATGTTAAACCATCCTTGTGCCCCTGGAATGAATCCAACTTGGTCGTGGTGAATTATCTTATGGATACATTGTTGGATTCTGATAGCTAAAATTTTATTGAGGATTTTTGCATCAGTGTTCATTAGGGAGATTGGCCTATAGTTTTCCTTTTTTGTGTTGTCCTTATTCGGTTTTGGTATTAGTGTAATATTGGCTTCATAGAACGTGTTTGGTATTGTCCCTTCCTTCTCAATTTTTTGGAAGAGTTTGTGAAGGATAGGCACTAATTCGTCTCTGAATGTTTGGTAGAATTCATTTGTAAATCCATCAGGTCCTGGGCTTTTGTTTTTGGGGAGGTTTTTAATTACCATTTCAATTTCGCTGCTTGTAATTGGTCTGTTTAGGTGTTCTATTTCTTCTTTATCTAGCTTTGGGTGATTGTAGAGTTGTAGGAATTTGTCCATCTCCTCTAGATTGTTGAACTTGTTTCCATATAACTGTTCATAGTAGTTACTGATTATTATTTTGATTTCTGCTGTGTCCGTTGTGATTTCTCCTCTTTCATTTATGATTCTGTGTATTTGTGCTTTCTCCCTTTTTTCCTTTGTGAGCCTGGCTAGGGGTTTGTCTATTTTATTTATTTTTTCAAAGAACCAGCTCTTGGTTTCATTGATCTTTTGGATTGTTTTTTTAGTTTCAATTTCATTTATTTCTGCTTTGGTTTTTATTATTTCTTTTCTTCTACTGGTTCTGGGGTTTTGTTGTTCTTTTTCTAGATCTTTGAGCTTCGAGATTAGGTTGTTTCTTTGAGTTCTTTCTTGTTTTTTGATGTGAGCTTCTATTGCTATATATTTTCCTCTTATTACTGCTTTTGCTGCATCCCATACATTTAGGATATTGGTGTCCTCCTTGTCATTCAATTCAAAGAATTTTTTAATTTCTTCTTTGATCTCCTCGTTAGTCCAGTGGTCTTCCAGTAGTGTGGCTTTTAATCTCCATGAGGTAGGATAGTTCCTTGCCTTCTTTTTATGATTTATTTCTAGTTTGATGCCTTCGTGGTCAGAAAAGATGATTGGTATGATTTCAATCTTGGTGTATCTGTTGATGTTTGTCTTGTGCCCCAGTATGTGATCGATCCTGGAGAATGATCCATGTGCGCTTGAGAAAAATGTGTACTCCGTTTTTTTTGGGTTTAGTGTTCTATAGATGTCTGTTAAGCCCAAATGCTCTAGGTCCTTATTTAGAGCTTTAGTTTCTTTACTTATTTTTTGTCTTGTTGATCTATCCATTGTTGATAGTGGTGTGTTGAAGTCTCCCACTACATATGTGTTTTCTCTGATGTCTGTTTTCAGAGAGGACAACAGTTGTCTGATATATTTTGGTGCTCTTTCGTTTGGTGAGTATATGTTAATGAGTGTTATTTCTTCTTGAAGTATTGTCCCCTTAATCATAATGTAGTGACCATTGGGGTCTCTTTTTATTTTTTTGAGTTTGAAGTCTGTTTTATCTGATATAAGTATAGCTGTTCCTGCTTTCTTTTTTGGCCCATTTGCTTGTACGATTGTTTTCCATCCTTTGACTTTGAGCCTATTTTTATCTTTTGTAGCTAAATGTGTTTCCTGGAGACAGCAAAAGGTTGGGTTTTGTTTCTTAATCCAGGCTGCAACTCTGTGTCTTTTTATTGAAGAGTTTAGTCCATTTACATTTAGAGTTAATATTGATATGTTAGCATCTGTATTTGCCATTGTGTTTGTCTTTCCTTTGATTTTATTTATTTATTCTTTTAATAACTTTTTTTTTTGGCCTTCTTTCATTGTTATTCGTCCCTCTGAGGTTCTGGCTTTAGGATTCCTTGTAGTATTTTTTGGAGTGGGGGTTTAGTCTTAATGAAATTCCAGAGTTTCTGTTTGTCTGGGAAGGTCCTTATACTTTCTTCATAGAGCAAGGAGAGCTTTGCGGGATAGAGTATTCTTGGTTGGCATCTGTTTTCTTGGAGTCTGTTGACTATGTCCCTCCACTCTCTCCTTGCCCGTAGTGTTTCTTCAGAGAAGTCTGATGTCAGCTTGATTGGTTTCCTTTAAATGTTATCTGTTTCTTCCCTCTTGTCAGCTTCATTATTTTTTCCTTGTCCTGGATTCTTGGGAGCTTTACTATTATGTGTCTTGCTGTGTTTTTCCTTTCGTCGTGGAAGTTTGGTGTTCTTCTTGCTTCTTGTATATCAATTTTCAGTTCCTTCTTCTCATTTGGGAAGTTCTCTTCAATTATATCCATGAATATTTTCTCTGTTCCTACATCTCTCTCCTCTCCTTCTGGAATTCCTATAACTCTTATATTTCCTTTCCTCATGGAGTCAGATAGTTCCCGAAGTCTTTCTTCATTCTTTTTCCTTCGTACTTCTCTTTCCTTTTCTGTTTTGGTTCTTTTTATTTCTGTGTCTTCAAGATTACTTATTCGTTCTTCCATTTCATCTATTCTGCTTTCATTGCTTTTCCCAGAGTTCTTTAGTTCCTCCATTAATTCTTTGATCTCCTGCATTTCTCTTACTTCCCTCTTTAGGGACTCAATTTCCTTCTTCTGATCTATCACTTTTTTAATCATGGCAATTTTAAATTCTCTTTCTGGAAGGCTCAGAAGTTCTTCCAAGTTGCTGTCGTTGCAATCTGGGGAGTGGTTTTCTTTTTGTGGTGTGCTTCTTTCCTGAGGAGATTTTAGGTTGCGTGTGGTTCTTCTACTCCCTACTGTCTGTTTTCTAATTTGTCGTATGCGTTGGGACACTGTGTTGCTCGGACTGACTGACATCTTGGGTGAACTTCTCCGCTCCCCTCTGGCTCTTCCAGGAGCCATCTCTGTCTTCTGGGGGAGCTTTCTGCTGGTTTTAGGCAGTTTTTACTGAAGAAATGTCCCTGTTCTCAAATGGCGAAGCGGGATGCAGTCCCTGCGCCTCCGGTTTCAGGCACACTCTTCTGCGCACCCGGTCTGCCCCGGACGTGGGTGCCTGCTCCCTCTGTGGGCTCAGACTGCTGGTCGGAAGGGGCCTGGCGTGGAATAACTTCCCGGCTGGCCACTGGGTCCTCCAGAAACCTTCTGCCCTTTTCAAGCAGTCTTAAGAAATGTCCTGTTTTATAGGGTGTTAGTGACTTTTTTTTTCCTGGTCGCTAGGTGGCGCCAGAGATCTCTCCTATTGTCCTTGGGGGGCTGTTTTTCGCCTCCCCCCACCCCGTGGGACAGAGAACAGAGCGGGAATGGTAGGGTACACCTCAACAGCTTTGGGGTGCTGTGTCTGCCTTGTGCCCCACCGTCGTGGAGAAACCACGCCCCGAATTTTCGTGCCCCGGGTCTCAGTTCAAAGCCCTCAGTTCCAGGACGCGGGCTGTAGCCCAGTTCAGTGGCGCGGGAATGGCGCCTTTTGCACCGCTCCCGTGCCTGGGCGCCTGGTTCCTGCTCACTCAGGGAGGGACCTTCACCTCAGTGAGGACCTCCGCGCGTCTCCCCGCAAGCCTAGGTCGTCTCCCCGCAAGCCTAGGTCGCAGGCGCGGGGACCTGGGCAGCCGCGATCCAGGTCTGCACTTGCTTTTCAAGCGCGCCGAGCGCGCCGCTCTCCGCGCAAGCTTACCGGCAGCCCGGGCTGTGTGCGCGTCTCCCGGGGTCTTTGTTCTTCTCTAATGGCGCCTGGAGCCGTTCGCTCACCGCCGCGCGCGCGCGCGGCGGATCCTGCAGGGTTCGCCTCAGCTCCCGTTCACGGGGTGTGGTGGCTGCAATAGTTCCTTTCCACTCACAGTCCCGCTTGCTGCGTCGTTTGTTCTTGTGGGTCGTTTTGGTTTGTTGTTTCCCTCCTCTCTGCCGGTCGGAGAGTGCCGCCTCTGTGGGCGGGGGAGGGGAGCAGGGTTCTGCGCTTCCCTCCCTTCTAGTCCTCTTTTATGGCCAGTTTCTTCTTCGGGCAGTTCGCTGGCGTCACCCGTTTATCTTCCGTGTCCCAGTTCTCACTGGGACCTGCCGCTTTTCCTCCCTATTAACTTTTTTTAATGGGAGATCTTACTCGCAGCGTCTCCTCGCCGCCATGTTGCTCCGCCCCCTAAAATATGTTTATTTTTAACAACAGGGTTCTTAAACTCAAGCCAACCACTTTACCAGGTATCCAATGGAATGGAATAGGAAACAGGAAAATTTTGACACTGGATTAATTAAAAGATACATGTTCTTCTCTTTATCAATTAGAGCTCAGACAGATAGCCAGAACCACTATGAGTGACATGGAATAAGGAATAGAAGTTATAGAGTTGGTAAAGAGTTTATGAAAAGCTATTGCCTCAATACCTGGTAATAAACTAGAAGTTTCTACATATCAGCAAAACTTGTATTGAGAAGGAATGCTGGATGGGAAGTGGGAGAGGACAAGGACAAACTAAAACCCAAAGAACAAAGGGGAACACACGTCTATCTCTTAGCAGCTCCAGACTTGATAAAATTTGTGACTTTTACCATGGAAGTACACAGACCCTTGGTCTAAAACTTAGGGAAGCTTAAAGGGAAAGCTCTGTCAGGGCTGAAGGAGTCACACAACCAACTTTGGCTGCACAGCCAAAAAGGGAAGGGAGTATATAAGCAACAACACCTACCAGCCGTGACAGTTCCTACAGTTGGCCTTAGACCAATCTTACAAGTAAAATGACTTCCGCTTCCCTCTTCCTTGTAGCCAGCCTTAATCCAGAACCATACATGGAAAAGAATTCTAGGAAATTACCAGTTACCTAAATTAAGACACTATGAAACCACTGGAGTCTCTAATATTAAGTTTCTACCAAGTGATTTCTAAGGATAATTGTTGATGAAATTATTACCTCATGAGCCACATTTATAACTCAGTCCTTGGGTAAAGTATAACTCCATTATTCAGATTGACATCAACTTATAAGTGGAAAAATTGCCATTCAACTCTTGGCCACTCTGGCTGCTATATTCTTCTCCTTTTCTTCCATCATTAAGACAATTATGGTCTCCCTGCTGAGAAAAGCACAATTGAATCTACAATATGGCATAAGCAGCCTTTTTTCCCAGACATCTCCTGTGTTCGAAAAGCCACTATTAAATACAAATTTATCCCCATACATTTTGTGACTTTTAAAAAGAACTCAAAAAAGTCCTTATTTGTTGCCATCAATGTACCAACCTGACATTTGAATATCCAAATGTTCTTTTTAAGGTTGGGTGGTGCTAAAACTAAACTGCACATTCCCCCTATTTATTTTTGGTAACTAAAGTGTTTATATTGGTAAAATTTTCAATCTGCATAACTCTGAGGCTTGACACTTTTTCTGGAAAACAATTCCATGATGGGAAAAGGTTATGGCACTTATTCCCTTTAATTCATGGTTGACACAAATATATGCTCCACCCCAGTCATTTCTCAGAATGCCCAAGTGATAGTGATAGCTGAGTTCTGAGCAAAGCCATTATCTTGAATGGCCATTAGCTAATCACTGCTGTTATGTGCTATTTAATAATATGGTGAGGTCACTGAGGGCATCATCTCATTCATATTTGTACTCAAAGCACCTGAGACATACTAAGCATTCCAAAAAAAATTTACAAATAAGTGCTTTTTGTGTGATGTTTGATTTTATTTATGTATTTATTTTTTGCATAGAAGAACTGGGGTGTAGGCCAGAGGTGGGAGCAGTGAGAGGATTCACCAGAGAGAGTGGGGAGCAGAACAAGCAGAATGACTGAAATCCACAGCTGAGGGAAGCAGCAGGCCGACAGGAGAGGTCTGCTGTGCCCTATGTGGTTAGTTTCCTGGCTGGGGATCAAAATCAGGCCGTCGAGGTGACAGCACTAAACTTAACCTCTAGGCCACCAGGGAGGCCCTAAACATTTGACTTTAAAAGACTGACTTGATGAGAATGAGAGGAAGATGACATTAGAAGGGGTTCCCTACTTTATTCCCAGGAGGATAATCTAAAGTAGTCCAGAAGGTCATTGAACTCAGAAGGCCCGATGGCTTAGGGCAAAGCTTGAGCACCTCCCGGACCTCAAAGACCAGTGTGGACGATGACAGAAGAGGTGAAGAGGAGATTCAACGCCATACGACAAAAGGTGAGTGCTATGGGGACTACAATGATATAAGAAAAACTAAAAATTTAATTAATTAATAAAAAGGTGGTGAGTGGAGATAGGTGCCTGGAGACTGTGATGAGGGCAGAAATAGTGGTTCAAACCCAGTTCCCGGATCGGGTTGTCCTGGGGAGGGAGAGCTGCTGGTGTGGAGATGCACTCCTAACAGTGGTGAGCCAAGAGGGCAGAGTCCCTGGTCAAGCAGACAATGCTCAGGACGTTGCTGCCCCTCAAGACTCAAGCTGCTGAGGTGAAGAGGTGCTGAAAGCCCTCCCTGCAGACATGTGGGGATGGGGGCCATGAAACCCTGTTGGTGAGATCACAGGCAGGAGTTGACCCATAAACCACAGGTGGGAAGATACAACCCAGGGCACCTCGAGGCAGCAGTGAACATTCCACCACAGAGAGAAAGGAACCTTATAAGTCAACCACAGAGACGTGGAAGAGATTTTCTTCCTCTCGAACACAGAGTTCCAAAGTGCCATGACAAAGAAATTCAAAGAAATGCAGTAAAACACAGGAAAGCTGATGAAAGACATACAAGAAAACTCAGGGAATAAGAATGAATGCCCTGAGAAATAAGAGCAATGAACAAAATAAAGAAAGTGAAGCTTTCAGCTGTGTGGAGACCCTCAAAATACTGAAAATGAATCTACCATATGATCCAGTGATTCCATTGCTAAGAATATACCAAAGGACACAAAAGCACTAATTCAAACAGAAACCTGTATCCCTGAGTTCATCGCAGCACTATGATAAACAACAGCGAAGATATGGAAACAACTCAAACACACCAAAACAGATGAATGGATCAAGATGGGGTCTAGGACCTCCCCTCGTGGCGCAGGCAGTTGAGCGCAATGCTGTGAAGCTGTCCTCAGCCTCTGCAGTGCCAGTTCGATCCCAGCCAGCCAGCGAGGGTCCCACATGGCATGGCAGACCTCTCCTGTCACGCCAGCTGCTCCCCTCAGCAGTGTATTTCGTCAGTCTGCCTGTTCTGTTCCCCACTTTCTCTCTGGTGAATCCTCTCACGGGCCTCCCCTGGTGGCACAGCAGTTGAGTGCTGGGCTGCGAGGCTGCCCGCAGCCTCTGCAGCGCCAGTTCGTTCCCTGGCCGCCGGGGAGGGTCCCACAAAAAAAAAAAGAAAGAAAGAAAGAAGAGAATCTGCTCATCCTCCCCCACATCTGGTCTGTACCCCAGTTCTTGTACAAATAAATAAATAAATCTTTAGAAAAAAAAGAAGATGGGGTCTATATACACAATGGAACAATGGAATACTATTCAGCAATCAAAAAGACAAACTCATGCTATTCTCAGCAAAATGGATGGAGCTGGAAGGGATTATGCTAAGCGAAATAATTCAGAGGGAAAAAGAAAAACATTGAATGATCTCACTTATAGGTGAAATATAGGAAAATCAAACATAAGGTCAAGAAAAAGACAAAACTTGCTAGCTGGCCATAGACCTGAGGCATCCAGCAAGGGAAGAGAAGGGTGAAGAGGTCAAAACAGGGGAGGGAAGAGCACAAGGGACTGTGGTGACAGTTCACAGGTGCTGTAGTGGTGGGAGAACTATGGGTATTACACCTAAGGGGAGAAATTTTGTACAAATACTGTCCAAAAATGAACAACAATGTAAGAAAATAAAATTAAATTTAAAAATAAATAAAATTGGGACCTCCCTGGTGGTGCAAGGGGTTAAGGCATAACACTGTGAGGCTATCCGCATTCACTGCAGCAAGAGGTCAATCCCCCACCAGGGAGTTACCCACATGGTGCAGCAGACCTCTCCTGACTAGCCCGCTGCTCCCCTCAGCAGTGGATTTCAGTCAGTCTGCCTGTTCTGTTCCCCACTCTGTCTCTGGTGAATCCTCTCACCCCTGCACCTCTAGCCTGTACCCCAGTTCTTGTATGCATAAATAAATAAATCTGTAAAAAAATTTAAATAAATAAATAGTTGTTAAAAAAAAAAAAGAAACTGAAGTTTTCAGTAAGACAATAACAGATGCAGGAAGTAAAAATATCAAAAAAAAAATTCTCAAGAAAGCTATGGAAGTCGTATAGACCAGATGGAAAAGTGAATCAATTACCTCAAAGATGGTAAGGTACAAAGAACCTAGGGAGAAGAAGAAAAAGAAACACATTGAGAATTATCCAAGTTCACAAAATATAAGAATAATGGGTATTCCAGGCAGGGAAGAGAGAAGAAGGGAACAGAGAACTTACTGAAAGAAACATGACTATAAACACAGGGACTGCCATCTTAGAGCCTAGACGCTACTTATCTCCAAGTAACACATCCTATCTCTGAGTGCCTGAGGTCTCAGGAGGACATTTGTCTCTGGGATTTAGCACAGGGCCACCTCCTCTCCCTTCCAATAGTCCAGAAAAAAAATCCCCATTCAGAAAGAAAAGCACAAGGGACGGTGATGATGGATCACAGGGGCTATATCCACGGGAGAACTAAGGTGGCCACACCTGAAGGGAGAAATCAGACACTGTCCAGAAATGAACAAAGATGTAAGAAAATAAATAAATATAATTATTAAAAAGATCCCCATTCCATTCAGATTTGGAACTACTTTAGAAGATAAACCCAGAATCAGCCAAGATCGACAGGTCAGTTTTACCACCCATTAAGACTGCATTAGAGCAAAATGGCGGCGAGGAGACGCTGCGAGTAAGATCTCCCATTAAAAAAAGATAATAGGGAGGAGAAGCGGCAGGTCCCAGTGAGAACTGGGACACGGAAGATAAACGGGTGACTCCAGCAAACTAACCGAAGAAGAAAGTTGCCATAAAAGAGGACCAGAAGGGAGGAAAGCGCAGAACCCTGCTCCCCTCCCCCACCCACAGAGTCGGCACTCTCCGACCAGCAGAGAGGAGGAAAACAACAAACTAAAATGACCAACAAGAACAAACTACGCAACAAGCGGGACTGTGAGTGGAAAGGAACTATTGAAGCCACCACACCCCGTGAACGGGAGCTGTGGAGAACCCTGCAGGATTCGCCACGGCGGTGAGCGAACAGCTCCGGGCGCCATTAGAGAAGAACAAAGAGACTCTGGAGGAGACCTGCACTCAGCCCCAGGCCGGCCGGTAAGCTTGCGCGGAAAAGCAGAAAAGCTGCGCGCTTGGCGCGCTTGAAAAGCAAACGCGGATCGGGATCGCGGCTGCCCAGGTCCCCGCGCCTGTGACCTAGGCTTGAGGGGAGACGCGAGGAGGCCCTCACTGAGGTGAAAGTCCCTCACTGAGTAAGCAGGAACCAGGCGCCAAGGCAAGGAGCAGGTGCAAAAGGCGCCATTCCCGCGCCACTGAACTGGGCTACAGCCCGCGTCCTGGACCTGAGGGCTTTGGAACTGAGACCCGGGGTATGAAATTCTGGGCGTGGGTACTCCACGACGGTGGGGCACAAGGCAGACACAGCACCCCAAAACAGTTGAGGTTTACCCTACCATTCTCGCTCTGTTCCCTGTCCTACGGGATGGAGGGGGGCAAAAAACAGCCCCCCAAGGACAATAGGAGAGCTCTCTGGCGCCACCTAGCGACCAGAAAAAAAAAGTCACTAACACCCCATAGAACAGGGAAATTTCCTAAGAAAAGACTTCTTGAAAAGGGCAGAAGGCTTCTGGAGGAAGTGGCCAGCTGGGAAGTTAGCCCACGCCAGGCACCTTCCAACCAGCAGTCTGAGCCGACAGAGGGAGAAGGCACCCACGTCCGGGGCAGACCAGGCACGCAGAAGAGTGTGCCTGAGACCGGATGCACAGGGACTGCGCCCCACTTCGCCATTTAAGATCAGGGACATTTCTTCAGTAAAGACTGCCTAAAACCAGCAGAAATCTCCTCCAGAAGCCAGAGATGGCTCCTGGAGGAGCCAGAGGGGAGCG